GTTAGGTACAATGTTGACACCACCAATTCAGCAGAATCTTTTAATGCTGTCATTAGGGATGCGAGAATGTATACTTTACTACCAATGTTTGATGCAATCATTGCAAAAATGGCTGAATGGTTTAACAAGTATAGGAAGAAGGCAGCTGAAATACCATACACACTGAAGCTTGTACCTGTTGTGGAAGATGAAATGTCTAAAAGATGTGTTGAAGCGGGGTTTCTCACGGTGGAAGAGTTAAACTGCTTTCATCTTGAGTATAGTGTGCATGGTTCTGACGGGAAGGTTTATACCGTTGATATGGCTATGAAGACTTGCACCTGTGAGCAATTTGATAAAGACAAATACCCTTGCGTGCATGGAGTAGCTGTTGCCACATTCATGGCAAAGGCAGCGGGAAGAGAACGTTATCTATCTGAGTATTGTTCGAAATACTATTTAGTGGAACAATGGGCTTTGGCTTATCACATGACAATTTATCCTGTTCCTCATATGTCTGATTGGGTTATACCAGAAGATATTAGAGCAAAGAAAATAATTTCCTCAGATTATGAAAAGAAGAAAGGAAAACCACAACAAACAAGATTTCCATCAGTAGGAGAATCCCGTGGAAGAGGAAAAAGGGGCAGAGGGGGAGCTAGAGGAGACAGAGGAAGAGGCAGAGCCAGAGGAGCAGGTCTTGCATCTTATTTTGAATGTGGAAGTGCTTCTGGTACTACCTAGGATTTACTGGTTTTATTATGTGTAATATGGACTACTGCTGATTACTTGTTTTACTACGTGTAATATGGACTACTTGAGACTACAGGTTTTACTACATGTAATCTGGACTACTGGGAATTTATGGTTTAATTATGTGTTATTCATATGCAAAATATATCACAACGTAAATTGTTTATGATGTACGTTTAAACTATTTTTTGATGATTGTTTTCACTTCCTAGGCTATTTCTATGGTAACTATATACATCTAAACTATTTTTGATAAATATTTTCAATTATTATAAAAAACCTTATCAGTTTCCTAAAAAACATCCTTAACTTTCTATATTAGTTTACTAAGTGTTCTAGTATAGTGAAGAGAATTTTTCAAAACATGTATTCCTTGAATTTTTTTAATGCAAATGTCTTCCTTAACAAGATTGACTAGGTAAAATCATTGGTTTTACTACAAAACCTTCGATTTTGTGATGGTTTAACTAGATAAACGTAAATATTGCCAAAGTATTACTATGTGTATAGTAGTATTACTACAACCTTGGAGATTATTAGACGTATTACTAAGTGTTACGTATACTACTAAATTTATATTTGACGGCTGCACGTTTTACATGAGAAATTTGACGGCTGCACGTTTTACATGTGAAATTCATTTAAAAAAAAAAAAATTCATTTCATCTATGTTTATTGCATTACAACAAACCCAGTAATTCTAGTTATCACAGTTATTCATTTTTGGGCAGAGTAACACCTGTAATTCAAGTTATCCCAGCTATTCCATTACCTGTCTTAAAGATCCAAAACAACATTTCAACACAATTTTAACATCCAACAACAAAAAAACAAGCATTCTCCTACAAGTTTCAAACATCCAAAATACTTAAAAAAACATCTAAATACATAAGTTAGCTCCATACATAAACGTTTATGCCTTTGTTTTAGGCTTCTTCCTCCCCTTCTTCCCCGCCGTGAAAGGAGTCTGCACCCACTGTGATGGTTCAGACTTCCTCTTCCCCGTTATCGGAGGTGCAGCATCAACAGCTCTCGTCCTTGGTCTGCCCCTCTTCTTAGGTCCAGCAGTCGGTTTTCCATACGTTTCTGTCTTCTCCTTGCATCTAAGCAAGATCTCAGGGCGCGCACTGCTTCTCTCACCTCATCTGCCCCATCCATCCTATCCTCAACCACCACCATGACCCAACTTTGTTTTTCTTCCTCAGTATACTCTTTAACTGCTGCCACTTCCTCAACCGGAGCCTCATTGACCACGGTCTCTTCTTGTACCTCTTTCCCTCCAGATTCTTCTTCCTCCACAGGGTTTTTGTTCAGATCAACTGGTGGCGGTTTACGCTTTAACGGCTGCCACTTCTCTGGCGTTAAGTCCAACAAATGCTTCTCCCATAAAATCCAAAAGCCTCTGTTCCAGACCTTGCAAGCTCGAATCAGAGGATGATGCTTCTGCAGACGCCACCTTTTCTTTCTCCTTCTTAGTAAACACTCGTGCAGCTTGATCTCTTTCATACAACTCTTCCCACCAAATACTCTTCCGCTTCACAGTTAATCAGTGGTTCCAAGTCTCGCTTGGGCTCCCCTGACGGTCATACTCCCGTTCCAAGTCAACGATACGAGCCAACAACATTTCCTCACCAATAGTTGGTTCCAACACACTGTGAATAATCTGGAAAAAAAAATTAACACCAATTAATTTTTTTGTTTTAAGGCTTAAAAAATAAACAATCTACTAAAACTGTAAATATGTACCTTTGTGTCTCCAAGCATTCGGTATATGTCTTCCAAGGGATAACCCTTCAGACTAGTCTTAGTAAACCGGCTCTTACACATCCTTGGACAGCCCGCACAAGGTTTCTTTTGATAGATTCTAAACTCTTTCCCCAGAGTAGGAATACACTCAAAAGCCAGAACCTATAGAACAAAAACATGTCAGATATTCATTTATAATAAAAGTTTTTTTTGTCACTTATTTAAAAAAGAAAAATTATATTCTTACCTCTAAAGGGACTATGAAACCAGGAAAGGAGACTGCATCTTTATTCACTTCTCCCTTTAAATGGTTCATCACCCGCTTAATCTCCTTTATCGAATCCTCAAATGTGAGACGACCCCAGGAAATGTTCTGCAAGCATCCAAATCATCCACCATCCTCAAGATGAAGGCGTCTAAATGTCCCTCATACCTTGGCTTTCCTCTGATAACAGTACCAAGGAAAAACAAGACCGCCATCTTCAATTTATTTGGACAATCCGGCATAGACAACAGCTTCTGCTTCACATCAGTGATGGTGATCTTCTCTATGTTATAGAAGTAGTAATTCACGAATTCAGTACCACCGATCTTCTTATATTTGCTTGGGTACTCAGTGCAGTCTAAACCAGAGATGAGGGCATGCTCCCTCATAGAATAGCGGATGGGTACTCCATTAACCGCAAACCATGCAACATCATCTTCTGGAGTACAAATGGCGTGCAGGAGTAACATCCACATCCCCTGGAGCTTAAGGTTTGGTTCCTCTGGCATGTGAAAGAAGTGTCGAAACTGAGAATGGCTTGTGAACCATTCGGCCTGATCCTTCTTAAGTGTCTCCTTGATGACTTTTACTGTCGCGCTCACATAACACTTCGTTTGTATCTTGCACATCTTCGTGAACTCACGGCTTTTGAAGCACAACTCAAGGGGCTGCGGTGGTTGCATTTCCTCATGCAATGAAAATACACACAAGAAGTCTCAGTAATGCTAGTAAGAATAGTAAAACAAGAAATCTTAGTAATCCTAGTAATCCCAGTAAAACAAGAAGTATAGTAATCCTAGTAATACAAAAAGTCTATTAGTATGCGCAAGTATTAGTACTACTAGTTACAAGACAACATTTCTCACTAACACAAACAATGATACAAAATATATACCTCATTGTCGGACCCCTCCCTTTCGAATTCATCTGACATTGAGCTCGGTTGGTGACTCGGTTCTCTCACTGGCGTACTCTTATTACTCCTCTGTAAATACATATATACATGTTAGTAATCCTAGTAATGCTAGTAATACAAATAGCCTAGCAGTAAATACTAATTACAAATCACCATTTTTCACTAACACTAACAAGGATGCTACAAAATCTATACCTCACTTTTGGACTCATCTGTCACTGAAAGCGATACGTAACTCGGTTCTCTCTCTTGCGTACTCTTATTACTCTTCTTAGTTTTCTTACTCTTCTTATTCCCTTCAGCAACTACTGGTGTTTTTGCAATAGGGGACGGTCTCGGCCTAAGAGATAGACGACGCCTTTCATTGGGGACTCCCTTCTTCTTTGCCACCTTTTGATTTCCCTTCATAACTTTCATGTACAAGACATTACAACAGTCAATCACTCTAAATCCAAACCGCAAACAACAACACAACATCAATTAACTTTCATCACCAACTCGCTATCACTCTCATTTAAACCAAACATATCTGATTCATATATATATTTTCACCCTAATTTATAGTCATAGGTTTAACAAACATCTTACCAATTCAACTTATTAAGTAAAAAACATACCAAAATCGGACATTTTCATCTAAAATCAATCCCCAAATTAGTTTATATCATAGCATATTCATAACATAAAATCACACAATTTCATCATGTATCCCCCGAATTCATATCACAAACTAGTCAAATACAAATAATTGACAAGTTTTTCCCAATTTCCCTAATTTTTTTTTACCTAAAATACAAATCAAACCGAAATCAACCACAATAAATCACTTACAAAAACGCAGGAATTCAATTCCGAGATGGGCGAATCCAATTGTCACAGAGAAAGAAGAAGAAACGAAGAAAATGGAGGAGGCGGGGATGTTAGGGTTTCTCGCCGTCGGAGCCGTTTCTATCGAAGGAGGAGAGGGGGAGATATTAAAGTGTTGAAGAAGGAGCACAAAACGACGACATTTAAGGCTATCTGGGTCGGATATGTCCGATTTACTTGGTCTGGGTCGGATATGTCCGGTTTACTTGGTCTGGGTCGGATTTTGGTGGTTGGGTCCTGTAAATAACTTATGTCCTTATATTAAAATTGTAATTAGCCATTTTTTCGATTTAAATTTAAATAAAAAAACATATAATATTATAATAAAAGGTTAAAGGGAAATTTTTGAGAGGGATATGGAGCATCCCGACAACTAAACAAATCTATTATATTAAAAGAGAAGTCATGACTCACTTCATGTGTGATTTTTAAGTTCGGATCACCCTTAGAAATTTTATATAACAGAACATCATTATAATATCTTTTCATATCTTTAAATTTTATTTGAAATACAAATAAATAATTTTAAGACAAGTCTAACAAAATCTTTAAAAAATCTTATAGAATCTTTTCAAGATATAGTTTCAAAAATTATTTGATTAAAAATTTAATTATCATAGAATATAATTTATTTAATTCATTTTTTAAGAAAAAATTAAAATTATGTAATATACTTTTAACAATAACCCAAAATTTTGTTTATGTATTATGTAGGTCCAATTTAATTTACTTTTTATATATTTTAAATTTAGAAATAAAATAAAATATATAATTAGTAATGTTACATAATAATATTTTTAAAAATTGTTACAAAAATACAAATTTATAAATTTTAAATTAATAATATTATAAGCTACATAAATATTATTATAAATTGGATAGTATATACAATCAAATTATATTTATTTATTGATAAATTTTACTCCCTCCATTACTTAATTTATGATATTTTGGATCATAACACAAAAATTAAGAAATTTACATTCTATTACAAAAGTATTTTTAAAGATATAATTTTATAATCATTCAACAAATTATTAAAAAGAGTAAAATTTATCGGTTGAATAGTTTCCAATAAAGTTAAAGATAACTTTAAAACCTCAAAATATACCTTAAAATCTCAAAACATCTTATATTTTGAAATAAAATAAATCTTATAAAACATCATCTATTTAAAATGGAGTGAGTATTATATAATTTCAAATATTTTCGTATTAAAATACCCGCACGGTTGTGCGGGTCGAGATCTAGTTTATTTCTTAAATAATAATATAGATAGATAAGACTATATTAAAGTCCGTTTGAATTTTAATTAGATATTTATATTTAACAAATTAAATACTAAGTAAATTAAGTTTTAACGACATTTTGTTTTTTACTTGTACAGTTCTTTAAATAAAACAAACTCAATTTGATTGCTCGGAGTCGGAGCTTGATCTGGTCGAAAGATTCCTTCTTTCTCCGACAAGAATGTCGACATCTGGGTTTAGTTTGTTCCTATGTGTTCTACAACTCGTGGGTTTCTTACTTCCATTGAGAACATCTGCAATTAGGTGAAGATTAATTTTGTGTTCTTTCTATCAAATTGCGACGAACCCCCTCTTGCTTGATCTCGATTGAATTTCGCAGGAAAGATATAGGATTTTTAGAAGAGAGGATTTGCAGAACAACTGTACAAGGAAGGTATCTGATCTCCGACGATGAAGGTCAGCAACTTCCACTCTTGAAAGAAGAATCAGTTTTTACAGCTTTTAATCTCTCCTTCAGACAAGAGATTTAGTTAGAAAGACTGTCTTTTTATATAAGCATGAATGGTTGTTTGTTGTTGCAGGCAATGTGTGTGATGCTCTGTCTTTGGATTCTCGAACCCGTTGCTGCCCATTGAAAGGAGAAAGATTCTCTTGTCAGTAAGTCATTTTCAGAGGAATCATTAACCTTTTAACTTGAGGGAATAATCTTCTGCATATCTTGTAAAGACTAGTGTGTTCTTAACCAGACAGTCTTGATTCTGACTTTCTTGTTTTTTTGTTTGGCTTGAAGTGGATGCAACATCCTTTCACAATGCTGCAGCTCTTATGAGTTTTGTGTTTCTTGCTGTTTGAATCCAACTCGGGTATTCTATGGAACCTTTGGCTTTGTTTCTCTGTTATCATTTTTTGTTCATGAGTATATATTTATCTTCTGCAGACGCTTCTTGAGAAGGTGGTTAAGGTAAAAGTTGCAAAGCCGGCTACAGCAGGTAAACTTATCGTTTTACAGCAGCTTCATAGGTGTTATTTGCATTTGCAAGGTCACCAATTTCTCCTCTCTACCAGGGACATACAAGACTGTGTTTGATTTTTGTGCCGGGAGATGCCGCCATAGTTCTGAGAGTGTGGTAAGTGATTGTCTGTTATTCTATTCTTGCGAATTTCGTGTGGTTATGTCTTGAAAGGCAAATTAGTGTAGAAGTGAGGTTTTATTTGAAACTGATAGGATGCTAATTTTGTCTTAAAACTTACAGGTTCATGAAAATACATACCACAGCAAGTTTCACCATTGTTTTTCTCTGACGTCAAATGCTTCAGGTTAGCGTTTGACAGCTTACTCTTTCCTTCAGCTATTGTTTAAATGTACAAATACATTTTACATTCGTTAAATAACTGAAACAGGGGCGAATCTTACACAAGTTGAGACAAGACTTCTTGGCATTGATGTTATTGTCGGAAGGTATAAAACACATACACTCACTTCTCTACCATGATGAATTTGTGTACGCTTATGTGGAGACCATATTTTAGACTCTTTTTTTAAATTGAATTGGATTTTATAGGCAAGGAGATTCATGCGATGATGTTTGCAAGTCACGTGGACAATTGTGTGTGATGAATAAACTCTCACTGTTAAACCAATGTGATGTGTAAGTTACCGAGTCATCTTCTAAGCCATGTATCAGAGATTGATATACATTTCAAACTTGAAACTATGATGTTTACTTAATACTATTTTTGTTTTTTTGTTTGCTTAGTATGCAAAGATACATGACCTGCAAAGGCTCCTGTTTAGCAAGTGCCGGCGCTGACCAACCTGCTGAAGTTGCTGATGATGCACCCAGAGATTTGGTATTCCATCTTTTATCATCTCTTATGGCGCCCTTTAAATTTTTGAATCAGTGAAACATCTCATTCTTATTGCGTCTCCTGACTTAGCTTTTGAATGTTGGTCATAAACTAAGTGATTCAATATGTGTACGTTTATTTTTTTTTTGGTTTTTCAGTATCCAGGCGCGTGCTTGTATAGCCGGACACAGTCAATGCTTTCTTGTGACGGTTCACACCAATACACTCGACGACTCTGCCCATGTGCCTAGTAACTAGTCAGTATTATTGAGACTTGAGCCAATAATTTTTCCATGCTTATATACATACACATGTTCATACATCTCAATTCTCAAAACAATATTAATGGAAATTAGATCTTAGATGTTTAGTTGCTTGTCTTTGTTGATCTCATGGCATATTATTACATGGTGGAAGAGAACATAGTTTTGATACAAACACGCATGATTCTACATATTTATGCATATGACTAAACGTTTACTCATTTAAAACCACAGAATGACATAAAGCATTTGTCCCACATCAACAGTAACGTATGTGGCCTACATTGAGAATAAACTGCAAGGCTACAGAAGCAGCAACGTTGAAGTACAACTTTCTTGAACAGATCCAAAACAACAATTTTGTATTCATTCATCAAATCAGCAAGGAGGACACAACAAGAGAAGAGTCTTTTATGGACAGCTGGAGTTTGAAGTAGTTTCAGATTTGATCTGTCTGAGAATGAATACAATAGTTTCATGGTCTTAATTATCTGCAGAACTAAAAACATTAACATTGATTTGACTCTCTGTTCATACATTCATAATCTCAAAGGGAAAGACATCAAAAGCTGTAATCTGTTTTAAACACTCTTGTGTCTTTTGTCTGTGCTTTAACACCACCACCTCTGTTCTCTGCCTCTTCTGCTTCTTCATTGTCATCACCTTCAATCTCAAACGCAGGATGGCTCAAAACGCATTTCAGAAGCTGCGTTCCTCTCAAGGCGTTTGTTAATGGCAAGTGTCCTAGAGGCGTTTCATCGTTAAGCTCCCACTTGAACTCATCAGGGAAAGCTCTGTAGTTGTATTGAACCACCTCTGTATCAAGAAGCTTCATCCACTCAACTTTAATGAAGAATCTTGTGAAGTCTTTCTTGACTTTTAACCAGATTTTGCGTTGCACGCTGTATCCGAACCTCCCATCGCTGTGTTTGGTCCACAGGTTGTCGATAGCTTGAAGATCTTCCACGGAGATAGACTTCACCTCAGAGAAGAACACGTAGCCACGTTTTATGGCTGCTTCTCCAGCTATCTGAATGAGAAGTCTCCGAGTTTCCTCGTCTGCTTTCTTGAAATCTTGGTTGATTAGGTGGGTTGCTAGGACATCAAACTTGTTTGCGGTTTCTGTGGATATGGCCGAGGAGTTTGTGGTGAGAGCGGCAGAGACGACGGAGGAGGAGGAGGAAGAGGAAGAAGAGCAGATGAGTGATGAGAATGAGGCCGTGGAAGTGGGTTGTTTGAAGGAGAGGGAAGTTGGTGTGAAGTGAGATGGGTAATGGAGATTGTGGCGGTGGTGTTGGTAAGAAGAGTGGTGGTGGTGGAGAGAGTTTGTGGTGGCCATTGATGGAGGAAGAGAGAGAGAATAGACACGGCAGGGAGATGGATAATGAAGTTGGAGAGTTTAGAGAAGAGTGAGAGAGATAAGGTGTTGAAAATCAGGAAAGACTAGGCGCGGTCGATTTTGATTGGTCACTTATGGGTCAGGTTTGATTCTCTTGTTCTATTTTTTTTTTTGGGAAAATTAGATTTATAATAAGTTTTTTTTTTCCGACTAGTTTTCTAAAGAATATCATAATGTACACATTGTATATTGTTTCTTCCGTTTATGAAAAAAAATATAAGAAAATCTTATATTGTTTTGTTGACAAAAAAATTATATATTGTTTCTTTGATAAATTTGATGTTTACTTCATTCTTCTAGTTTTGATTAGTGCCTTGAAAGTCTTATAATAATATCGTAAATATAAGATTATTGAACCAATAAAATTATCATTTTTAAGAAATCCATCAGTAAAACACAGTCGATACGTCAATTACGGCTATAATCTTGATATTGCCATACAGTTTTACTATTTCTAATCCAAACTTTAGCAAAAGAAAAATAGATAAAAGTGAATATATCTAACTATTTCATCATTATAAGAGTCATATTATAAATTTGACAAATGTGCTTCTTCTTCATGTAAAACATCTTTTTCTCTAAATAAAGTGTGAAACATTTAACTGTGTTTAGCATAAAATTTGTTCTCTTATGTACTGAGTTTAATCTACATTTGATTTGTAAATCTTGTTAAATTTGTGTTGTTGATAGTATAATTTCAAAGCGTATAAAAATAATGTTAAAGAAAAAAAAATTCAAATTGAATTTTTATTTGAGAAAAGCTAATTTATCATTTCAAATTGAATTTTTATTTGAGTCAAACTTTATCATTGTTGTTAACTAGCAATATCTATATAGAACCAACCCGACCGAATTCAGACCAATCCACACCGAATCCAAATATATGTTTAAACCATTTGGTTCAAGATTCTAACAATCTGAATGATTCAGTTTGATTTGGTTTTAAATCGAAGCAAACCAAAAAACCAAAGTGTTTCTTTTCTTAAATTAATTAAATATATTAATAATATAGAGTTAATATATTTAACCATCTAATCTAAATAACTAATAATTTTATACATTTAACTTCTAAATAAATAAAATAAACACAACTAAAAAATATGAAACTATACACTAACATCAAAACCGAATACTTTTATGATTTTATATTAAGTTTGAAGATAATAATATAAAATTGTTAGATTGCATTTTTTACATATTTATTCTGATGTTTAGTTTTATGTTTAAATATAGAGAAAACAATGATATAATGTCAAATGATGATTTGTTAATTTTTTTTTATAAATATACTTTTGCAATTGAACTAGAATAAAACTAAGAAAATCAACTCGGTTGAACTAAAAATACAAACAAAACCATATTAAACCGAGTCAAATAAAAACCAAATCGAACTAAAACCAAACTGAACACAAACCAAATTAAACCAAACTAAATCTGAACCAAACTGAACATAAACCAAACCAAATTAATATGGGTTGATTTTGGTTAAAGTTTTCTTAGACCCAAATAATCCAAACCAAACTGAACCCAAACCGAACCCGTAATAAAACTGAAATGCCCACTTCTATTTATGACATATAGTATTATTAAAATTAAAATATAATATTTAAAGACTAAATTTTATGTATAAATATAATTATTATATCAAATATAATTATTAATAAAACTAAAAATTAATATATTTTAAAAACACGGATCCTGGATATCCATACCTGAAAAATTATGATATCCAGATCCGGACACCCCAGATATCCTATTTTCGGAGTGGATCCGGAGCGGATCTCGAATCGGATCCTAGATAATAAGTCCCAGCCCTAACAATTGAACTTCTGGCCAGTAGAGAGCGAGTGAATCTGCTTATCAAAGACAAAATATCTAGTCATATTGTATCCCCAACACTCAACATGAGAATAAGATGACGAACTGTTGTTGCTAGTCTCTTGTCTTCCCATTAATGGCTCCCTCAAACCGCAAAGGTGGTAATCTCTAGCACTAAGTTCCTTTGATCACTGGCTGAGGAACTCCCATTTGAATAAACTACTGTTTTCTTCAACAATATGTTGATATAGATGAGGCGATAAAAACATACTGCAGAAGGTAAGACACATCAAATTTGTTAACGGGGTTCGTTTCCTACATCCCCGGGATCCACTCCAGATTTTATTGACTTAGAACAAGGAGCAACCTACAATTGCTATATCGTACAACACACACACTAGTGTTTACCACTCTTTTCTAAGAAGCAATCTACAAAGATTAGGTATGAGCACTCATGCATACAACACCATATGGGCGCGCCAGAGCACACTGTCTTCTACAGTTGCAATCTTCACAGACCTCTTCAATAAAACCGCATTTGCTAAACTCCCCCTGAGTCTAGGCTTCAATCTTCCACTTCTTGAAAGTACTTCACCAAGTATGTTAGCACCAAACGCACACCAGTGACACCAAACGCTTGATCACCCAAGCACACACAAAGCTCACGAGCTACACAAGATGGCTAACACCACCATACAAAGCGCTAACTCCAACGCCACCATACTACGTCCACATCGGACTCCATCAAACAATGCTTCAAGATGTACTTCAACACCAAGCAGTAACACACACCAAGGAAACCTTTCTCTCTCTTCTATGAGGTCTGGTTTTCTCATAAGGCACGACCCTCCTTATATATCATACCAGAACTTGCTCTCCACGTCTTTAACTCGCTCTCCAAGTCTTCCACTTGCTCTCCAAGTCTTTCCAATACACATAAGGTAACTTTCCATATCTTTAATGGAAAACTTCACCTTCAAGCAAACTTCCTTTTGGTTTATGGAAAACGTCCATATGTCTTCAAACACATATCTTCTTTCCTTTTTCAATCCCAAGAAGCCCACGCTAATCAAGAAACACGAACTCCAGCATAGCTCATCTTCATGACACACACATGTACTACCTCCTGTAGTACTTCAAGAACTGACACAGAACATCCCAACAAACTGCATCTTCAATCTCTCCCTTTTTGACTATGCATGTGCACTCATCATAACGAACTTGAAAGCCACGTCTTCAATCTCCCCCTATGAGTCACATCATGGTCAAAAACCAACTCGAAGATCACCACCTTCTAAACCAAAGAAGAAATCCTATGACACCATCATCATCGGTCTTCATACAAACTCTGTCCTTCTTCATGAACCAGATTTCGTCCTCATCCTCCATGATCTCACCAGTAACTTAGGTGACCCGCTCTGATACCAATTGTTGATGTAGATGAGGCGATAAAAACATACTGCAGAAGGTAAAACACATCAAATTTGTTAACGGGGTTCGTTTCCTACATCCCTGGGACCCAGTCCAGATTTTATTTACTTAGAACAAGGAGCAACCTACAATTGCTATATGGTACAACACACACACACTAGTGTTTACCACTCTTTTCTAAGAAGCAATCTACAAAGATTAGGTATCAGCACTCATGCATACAACACCATATGGGCGGGCCAGAGCACACTGTCTTCTACAGTTGCAATCTTCACAGACCTCTTCAATAAAACCGCATTTGCTAAACTCCCCCTGAGTCTAGGCTTCAATCTTCCACTTC